CAGGGAAACAGAATGCCAATGCGGATGGGTTGTCTCGCTAAACAGAACTGGACACTTTGCCAACTGCTTTTCGGTCATCCCCAAGCCAACCCGTTGGGGTCTAGGCGGGTATGTCATCTCATGGAACTAAGGGGGAGCTATGTGACAAAACCAGTGTTTTATGAATGCCAAGACTTTTATATATTGTCTGCTGTTCGTGTAGTTATCCCTATTTCGTTATTTTCCTAAAAAAATTAACAAACTACCGAACAGCCAGACCACACACTCATTAATCGCGCAGAAGCTGCGGTTAACCACAGCTATTTCACGAATGGCTGGGTGGTCGCCGTTCATTTGAACGAACACATGTCGGCGGCCATTTTAAACTCCTGAACGCCCAGCGGTGTTTGGTCGTCGACCGCATGGAACTATTTTCAGCCACAATTTCACACGGACACCACTGGGAGTATCTAACTTCTACCTCGTTCATTTCTATTTACATGAATGCCGTGCTGTTCGGTACATTTAACACACGAATGAGACTGACCCCAGCTAGCTCAATCCATGGAGCTTATTTTTGAACATATTTCAAGCGAACAGTCAGGAACAGAATCTTTAGCTCCATGGTGATTTGACTGTGTTCATGAGATCTGAGCGCTGTTTGGCTATATTGAGCGCTCAGACCCAAGCTATCTGGGGGTTCCATTCGGGAAAAGCAAAGTTATATATTTTAATGTATTTTTGTTACTTTTGTAAAATGGAAACATTTTCTCTAACTGGAGATAATTGAGTATTGCTCCAGCCACTTATCTCCAGGATAGAGAGGAGGGATTTCACAGTTCATGTGGGAGTGGGTTATATTTTATTGTGAAATGATTGGTTACTGTAAGTTGTGTTACAGTCCTCCACAAGGTGCCTGTGGGAGTGTCAGGAATTTTTTTCATTTATTACTGGCCCTTTAAGACGGCATGAAATTACACACCTCTTGGTTATTTACAAATACAATAAACATCAAAATAATCTGAATTGGAGTATACAAAAACTCTATTCACAATAATAAGCAGGGCTGCGTCACATACAAAAGAGCGACTAAACAACCAAATAAAATATAAACCAACAAGGGTATGTGAGCGCTCCAAATAAAATATGACCACTAGAAAAATTACACTCCAAAGCAGCAGCTGTAGAATAAGATAAAAATGTACATATACACAAAATATTTATTCATATAAAAATAAACAAATCATAAGAACCATAAAAAAATCCTTATAAATCTAAATATAAAAAAGTTCATAAGGATGTGTCCAAACCAAAGTTCAAAGATACATAGTGTGGGGCCCCCAACACTAATATGGATTATGTATCAAAAGAAAAAAAAATTAAAAAGAGATTGTGCACATCAAATAATAAAACATCAAAAAAATGTCCAAAAATGAATATCAGACCTCAAACACATATATAGTTCATGGGGGAGGGAGCTCATAAACCCGCCAAACTACTAGGTAAAGGTGAGGGGTGCCGCAATGGATAGTCTCCTAGTGTTAAAAACCTAGGGATTAAACCAAAAGCAACTTACCCTATTCACCCTACTTCCGTGTAAGGTGAAGGGAGCACGCCAACTCCCTACCACGAGACAGGATGTGTGAGACTGAATTAAACAGCTGCCGAAAATCCCTCCCGAACCGTAAATGAAGTCGGGTAGAAAATCAAAGGAGACGGAAAAACAGATCGTCTACGCGTTTCGTCCCCTATGAGGGACTTTATCAAGACAAAGATCTGTTGTCCACAGACTGGGTATATATACCCTATTCCTAAAGGAGTGGTCATTCAATTAAACAATAATAAAAATTAAGAGTCAATTTGTAGAAGGCGGATCGCCTAAGGTGTGCATTTATTTATAATTTTTATAGAGTAAACATCCAAATAATATTATTAAATATAAATCATCAACCAATAGGCATTATCATTCTCTCTATTTAACAATTGTTTAGGGGGATAAAACGTATGAAATCAAACCTGTATGTGACAGTGTAACTTTTTGAGACTATCTCTCATCTTTTTCATATTATAGAAATACTCATAGGCTGTAGTTCTTTATATTTCTATATGTATGTAGACCTATGCACACATATGGGTGCATTCTTCCCCATCAGCTACAACACAGAGGACTCTTATATACAAGTAAAGAACTTAACAGCTTAAGTTTATTTAATACAAGCCTCCCAAAGACTCTAAAAAATTATAAAAAATATATAAAAATAATATAAATCCTAATCAATAAATATAAAGATGCATAAAAGAACACATAATTCTGATAAATACCAATATGTTACATATAAAAAGCTTTTTAGGGAAGTCACATAACATACAATAAAAGCTTATGTTCAATGAACACAAATTGAAACAATAAATAAATAAATGATCTAAATAAATGGGTTATACTTAAACAGGGGTGGAGAGGGGGAAAAAGGGGGTAGGGACACACAGTAATGAATGCATCCCTCATATCCCTTGTGGTCCATCCCCCACTGTTAAAGCAGAACCATAAAAAATTTAATCAAAAAGAAAAAACAAAATTAAGTAATGTGCTCCAATTCCTCATTTAACCCATACGGATTAAGAGTATTCAGTCGGAAAATCCACCTGGTCTCAGCTACAATAAGAGCTGTTTTTCTATTAACAATCTTCTCTGGGATATGTTCAATACCCATAACAGATATATATAAAGGATTGCTCTCATGGGCCATTTGGAAGTGTCTAGCTACCGGGGATTTTCTATCCTGTTTAATGATCGCTAGTCTGTGTTCTCTGAACCTAGTTTTCAATGACCTAGAAGTCTGGCCAACATAAAGCAATCCACACGAACACTTCAGTAAATAGACAACATATGGGGTGTTACAGGTAATCCTTGAGGTTACTTGGAAAGTCTCATTATTCAAAGAAGACGAGAAATCCAAACCTCCATGGTGTATATACTGGCATGTTAGACATCGCGTTGAACCGCATTTGAAATTCCCTACACCAAGGGCTGCCAATGTGTTATGGGATTCTGCTGAGGCAAGCTTAGATGGAGCTAACAAGTTCTTTAAATTTCTATTTTTCCTAAAGGTTATTCTTGGTGACCCAGCTAAACTAAATTTCAACCAAGGATCCAATAATAAAATAGACCAATGTTGGCGTAGAATGGAAATAATCTGGTCATATGCCCTATTAAAGGTAGTGGTAAATATGGGACCCTTATTATGAGAAACATCCCTAGTACTGATGTTAAATTTATTCCGGGTGTTGGATCTTCTTTTAGGAGTTGAATTTTCCAAAAGGGATAATACTTCCATATGTTTAACTGATGGCACGGGAGATCTAGCTGGAGACTCCTGATCAATATAAGGCTCTATGAGTGAATTTCTCGAAATGTTTCTAGCCTTATGATATGCCTGATAAATGGTGTTTGGATCATAATCTTTATCCAGGAAACGTTGACATAATTCCAAAGATTCTTCTTCAAAGTCTTCCAAGAGAGAACAATTTCGGCGTAGTCTAATAAACTGACCATACGGGATATTATTAATCCACGTTGGATGATGACCACTCGTTGAATGTAAAAAACCATTAACATCGACCGGTTTCTTAAAAGTTTTAGTGAGGACATGTCCAGGTTTCCCGCATAGGATCAAATCAAGGAACTCAATGGTTGTCTTATTTTTATTACTAGTAAAAGATAATCCCCATTCGTTGTTATTGAGATAATGGACAAAGTTATCAGTATCATCAAGATCACCCTTCCAAATAATCAAGATGTCGTCGATAAATCTTTTATAAAATATAAGATGTTCTCTCCATATAGGATGATTAAATATATGGATGGATTCCCACAGGCCCATAAAGATATTTGCATATGCTGGGGCAAAACTGGCCCCCATTGCTGTGCCTTTTATTTGTAGGTAGAACTGCCCATTAAAACAAAAATAATTATGGGTTAAAATAAAAGATATACTTTCCAAAATTGCTTCCACTTGACAACGAGGGAGAAGGGGATCTTCCAAAAGGAAATGTTGAATAGCTTTCAAGCCCAACTTGTGGTCGATATTTGAATATAGGGCTGCCACATCCACGGTCAGCCAACAATAATTCTCCTGCCAGGAAATCTCCTGCATCAATGATAATACATGTCCCGTGTCTTTAATATACGAAGGAAGGTTGATCATAATTTCCTGAAGATGAATATCTACCCATTTTGATAAGGGTGCTGTAAGAGAACCAATAGATGAAATAATAGGTCTACCAGGTGGATTAGTGAGGGACTTATGGATCTTCGGAAGGAAGTAAAAGATGGGTATATTGTCTCCACCGGAGAGTAGAAAACCTTTTTCTGATTTATCAATAACCCCTATATCAAACATCCTATTCACCCAGGTTTTGAGATCCCTGGTGAATTGAGTAGTGGGATTAAAAGCGAGGGTTTTATAATAATTTGTTGGTTATTTAAACTCCAATCTCCAATACCTCAGGGCACAATTAATGTGTTAATCTGACTGATTGCATCAACTTCCTTGCTAATCATTTGGATCACTCCTAGAGAGACCGTGTGTTCCATCACAGGACCCCTTCTGAATCTCCTCTTCATACCCCTATATCTTTGATTACCTGGTTAACTAATTCGGACTGACCTTGACTCTGCTTTTGGAAAATTCCTTCAATAGTGCTTGATCTCCTGTTGAACGACCTTAGACTGGATAAAGGACATTGCTTATGGACTAACCTTGGACACATCACCTAAACTTCTATTTTTAAGGACTGTCAGTTTATCTCTCTGCTTTGCTGCCACATCAGTTCGCCGTGCTGAAACTGCCTCTAAATAAAAAGTGAGTGGTGCTTATTTTTTTGTTTGGTATTTGCTAAAAAAAAAAACATGACAGGGAGTACCCCTTGCTGGAGGACCTGCATAAAAGGCCGAGCTGTGGCCATCAATAAACCAAATTGTTTTACCCCTTCATGAAGTCTTGGCTCATGTTTGTGGAATTGGGACAGTGGCGGATCCAGAGCCTGATCTCGGGAGGGGCACTTGTAGATTATTTAAAGAAATAATCCAGACACAATAACCACTACAGCCCAGTGTAGTGGTTATGGTGTCAATAGTGCCGGGACCCCCTCCCACAGTAAGTAGTCAAACTGGTTAAGAACAGTTTGACAACTTACCTAACATCTGCTGGGAAATGGGGCTGTAGTAGGGCATAGGAGCAGTGGTGTATGTGAGTGGTGCAATGTGTAAGGGGTGCAGTGTGTGTGTGAAGGTTGTAGTGTGTGAGTGAGGGCGGCAGTGTATGTGTGGGACAGTATGTGTGTGTAACAGTTGCAGTGTGTGTGTATGGGGGGCAGTGTGTGTATATGGGGTGGCAGTGTGTGTATATGGGGTGGCAGTATGTGTGTATGGGGGAGCAGTGTGTGTATGGGGGAGCAGTATGTGTGTATGGAGGAGCAGTGTGTGTATGGGGGAGCAGTGCGTGTGTATGGGGGCAGTTTGTGTGTATGGGGGCAGTGTG